CAATTCCAAGGCCAAAACATGTTGAATAAACAGGAGATATACACCAATTTGTTTTTAAAATGGACAGCTTTCCTGTCTCTAGCTCTCTCTCATGTTGCCTTAAACACACATATGCCAAAGAAATCATATACAGATACTTGCATGCATTTAGTAAACTAGTAAGTGGTACTTTTAATAAATTTCTGAGTACAATCAATTAAAAGATTTGTGCACAATATTATTTAGGTATGGTACCAAGTAAATCAGAAACAAATGCAAGAGCACAAATGGTTTATTTAGCTACCTTTCCATATTGGGTCTTTATGACATTCGATACTCTACTGTATTTTATTTTTTAAACTAAACATATGAAAACTAGCTAAATAACCTGTATTTTCTTTTATTACATTATGATGCCTTTTTTTGGTTCACCTAAGTTTTTTTGTTTTTTGTTTGTTTGTTTGTTTTTGAGATGGAATTTTGCCTGTCTCCCAGGCTGGAGTGCAGTGGTGCAACCTCAGCTCACTGTAGCCTCTGCCTCCTGGGTTGAAGCAATTCTCCTGTCTCAACCTCCCAAGTAGCTGCGACTACAGGCACATGCTATCACACCCAGCTAAGTTTTGTATTTTTAGTGGAGACGGGGTTTGACTATATTGGCCAGGCTGGTCTCAAACTCCTGACCTCAAGTGATCTGCTGGGGCCTCCCAAAGTGCTAGGATTACAGGCATGAGCCACCGAGCTCAACCTGCCTAAGTTTAATTAAAAAAACAAAAATGTTCTGAGTGTGACTTTGTTGAAACAACTTATACAGGCATTTTAACTTTGGTGGCAGTTTTAGTCCTACTATCAGTCATCTTTTTTCCATTAGCCCAGCAGTGCTGCTACTTTAATTTAAATCTGCCCCTCTGCCCTCTCCTCAGTCTGTTGGCTGTATTTTGCCCATTGACTGTTAATGCTGATTTTTTTTTAAAAACACAACAGAAACTGTGGATTGCTTATAAAAGAGTTTTCCCACAATAGGCTTATTTTTATTTCACTTGTTTATTAAGAATATTCTTTCAGCTTGTTCTTCAGGTTATCTCCTTGGTTATTTCCTAGAATTTACCAAGTTCTCAGTCAGTGTTCAATCTCCTGTGCTGAACATGAGATTTCTTAGGCCTTAATTCAACTCCTTCTCAAAGGGAGTTAAATATCAGTGTACTTCACCCTTCCTTTGACCTTTGTCTTTTGCTGAAACATGTACTACAAACAGTATTTTTTTCCTTTTTTAAGAAGCAATGACAGAAACATATAAGAGTGGAAATCAAATAGTAATGACCACTTCAGATTCTGTGTCATTTAGATATTTTGTTCTAAGTAACAGAAAACCTAATTTAAACTGTCTTAAAAAGATCCTTTATTGATATCCGTAATACGAAAAGCCCAAGGCTTGGCCCTGTTTATCTGTTCTGCCTCACTCTGTATACTTGCTATCTATGAAATATATATCAAAATGACAAAAGCAGTTTTAGATATCTCATTTACATACCATATTTTTAGAAAAATAAAGTGAATGTATTTCTCTGGCATTCCAAGCAAAGAGTTTTTATTGCACTGGTCACTTGCTCACCTTTAAATAAACCACAATAACTGGGGGAATGTGATCTGTTGCATGGCTTTAGATAATGAAGACTGACCCCTCCAAAGCATATGAGCAGTGAAGAGTAGTAGAGCTGAGTATCAGCGGAACAGGTGGGAATGGAGTCTAGGTAGGCCGTGGACATCTGAGAAAATTAGAAACACATAGTTGATTTTCAGTCAAAGTAATATATTAAATTCATGTTTGGGCACCTGGCAATAACTGATGAGGAAAAAAAAAAAAAAAGCCCCAAAGTATAGTCAGAATAGTAAATAGGTTAACCATCTCTATAGAGTACAAGCACAAAGTAATGAGTGAGGCTGTAGCTGTTTTGGAATTGGCCAAAATAGAAATCATCCAATATCTGATCTCAGACCAAAAGGAATTGAATTAGAATTTGATAACAGAAAGATAGCTGGAAAATCACTGAATTCTTAGAAATTAAATAACACATTTCTAAATAACATAAGTCAATGAAGAAATCTCTAGAGAAATTAATAAATATTTTGAACCAAATGAAAGTGAAAACATAGCCTGACATTTGTGGGATACAGCAAAAGCAGTGCTTAGAGGAAAATTTATAGCATTGAATGTATATATTGGAAAAGAGGAAACATCCAAAATCAACCATCTAAAGCTTCCACCTTATGAAACTAGAAAAAGAAGAGCAAATTAAACCCAAAGTAAGCAGAAGAAAAGAAATAAGAATTAGAGCATAAATTAATAAAACTGAAAGAGAAATCAATAGAGAAAATCAGGGAAACCAAAAGTTGGTTCTTTGAAAAGACCAGTAAAATTAATAAGCCTCCAGCCACACTAAGAAAAGAGAGGACATATATTACTAATATCAGAAATGAGAGAGGACATCACTAGAGATCCCATGGACATTAAAAGGATAATAAAGGAATACTACGAACAACTCTCTGCCCACAAATTTGATAACCTAGATGAAATTCACCAATTATTTGAAAAGCACAAGCTACCAAAATTCACACAAAAAGAAATAAACCATCGGAATAGGCGTATATTCATTCATTAGAGAAATTTAATAAAAAATGCATAACCTCCTAAAACAGGATCTGGCCCAGGTGGGTTCACTGGTGAATTCTACCACACATGTAAGTAAGAAGTTATACCAACTGCCTACAACCTCTTTCAGAGGATAGAAGCAGAGGCAATACTTCTTAACTCATTCAATGAGGCCAACATTCCCCTAATACCAAAACCAAAGACATTACAGGAAAATAAAACTATAGACCAATATTTCTCATGAACAAAGATGCAAAAATCCTCAACAAAATATTAGCAAATCAGATCTAACAATGTACAAAAATACTTAGCATCCTCACCAAGTGGAATTTATCCCAGATATGCCAGGCTGCTTCAACATTTGAAAATCAGTTAATGTAATTCATCACATTCATTAGGCTAAAGAAGAAAAATCACATGATACTATAAGTAGATGTAAGAAAAGCATTTAATTAAATCTAAAACCTGTTTATGATTACGAAAAAACTCTCAGTAAACTACAAATAAAGGAGAACTTCCTTAACTCAATAAAAAAAAAGATCTTCAAAAACCCTACAGCTAATATACCTAATGGTGAGAAACTTGGAGGTTTCTCACTGAGATGAGGAACAAAGCAAGGATGTTCCTTTTCACCACTGCTTTTCAATGTCATACTGGAAGTCCTAGCTAATGCAGTAAGAAAAGAAAATAAAAATTACACAGGCCAGGCGCAGTGGCTCACGCCTGTAATCCCAGCTACTTGGGATTCTGAGGCAGGAGAATTGCTTGAGCCCAGGAAGCAGAGGTTGCGGTGAGCCGAGATTGCACCACTAAACTCCAGCCGGGGTGACAGCATGAGACTCCATCTCAAAACATAAAGTAAAATAAATAAAAGTTATACAGATTGGGAATAAAGAAATAAAACTACCTTTATTTGCAGATGACATGATCATCTATGTAGAAAATCTGAATAAACTGACAAAACCCCTCCTGGAACTAATAAACAATTATAGCAAGAATGCAGGATACAAAGGTAATAGGCAAAAATTAATTGCTTTCCTATATAACAGCAATGAACAAGTGGAATTTGTAATTAAAAACACAATACTGTTTACATTAGCACCCTCCAAAAGCAATCTAACAAAATATGCATTAGACTATAGGAGGAAAACTACAAAACTGATTAAAGAAATCAAAGAAGAACTAAACTAATGGAGAGATATTCCAGGCTTGTGTATAGACTGACTCAGTATTGTCAAGATGTCACTTTTTCCCAACCCAATCAATCCCAGTCAAAATCCCAGCAAGTTGTTTTGTGGATATTGACAAACTGATTATAAAGATTATGTGGAAAGGCAAAAGACCCAGAATAACCAACACAAGATTGGAAGAGAGCAAAGTTGGAAGACTGACACTCCCCACCTTCAGGATTTACTGTGAAGCTATGGTAATGGAACCAAATAGAAAGCCTAGAAATAGACCTACATAAATATAGTCAGCTGATCTTTGACAAAAAAGCAAAGGATACAATGGAGAAAAATAGTTTTTCAATAAATGATGCTGGAACAACTGGACATTTACATGCAAAAAAATTTGATCTCGACACAGACTTTACACCTGTCGTAAAAATGAACTGAAAGTGGATCACAGACCTAAATGTAAAACACAGAACTATAAAACTCCTAGAAGATAACATAGGAGAAAATCCAGATGACCTTGCGTTTGGTGATGACTTTTTAGATACGACACCAAAGGCATGATTTCTTTCACGATTAGGGTTCACTCAGTGTTACATTTTCTGTGTGTTTGGACAAATTTATAATGACATGTATCCATATTATAGTATCATACAGATTAGGTTCACTGCCCTAAAAATCGTCTGTGCCCTGCCTGTTCTTTTCTCCCTCCTTTCTAACCCCAAACCATGGATATTTTTACTGTCTCTTTAATTTTGTCTTTCCCAGAGTGTCACTTAATTGAAATTGTACAGTATGAAAGAATTGATAGTTGGACTTCATTAAAATTAAAATTCTCTGCTCTGCAGAGACACTATTAAGAGAATAAAGATAAAAGGCACAGACTGGGAGAAATGTTTTCTTTTCTTTTCTTTTTTTTTTTTTTTTTAAGACGGAGTCTCACTCTGTCACCCAGGCTGGAGTGCAGTGGTGCGATCTTGGCTCACTGCAACCTCCTCTCCTGCCTCAGCCTCCTGAGTTCCTGGAATTACAGATGTACACCACTATGCCTGGCTGATTTTTGTATTTTTAGCAGAGATGGGGTTTCACCATGTTGGCCAGGCTGGTCTCGAACTCCTGACCTCAGGTGATCCGCCCACCTCGGTCTCCCAAAGTGCTGGGATTACAGGTGTGAGCCACTGCACCCAGCCCAAAATGTTTTCAAAAGACATATATGATAAAGGCTGTTATCCAAAATACACAAAGAACTCTTAAAACTCAACAAAAAGAAAGGTGGGTATGGGCGCTGGCTGGAGTTGCTCAGTGCTCACCATCCTCTTCTCAAAGCCATGTCTGTAAGACACCGTGGTGAAGGTGAAGGCCAGAGTAAATAGATTTGGCCATATTGAGCGCCTGGTCACCAGGGCTGCTTTTAACTCTAGTAAAGTAGATATTGTCGCCATCAATGACCCTTCATTGACCTCAACTACATGGTCAACATCTTCCAGTATTTCTACCCATGGCAAATCCCACTGCACCATCAAGGCTGAGAATGGGAAGCTTGTCATTAATGGAAATCCCATCACCATCTTCCAGGAGCAAGATCCCACCAAAATCAAATGGGGTGATGCTGACGCTGAGTACGCTGTGGAGTCCACTGGCATCTTCACGACCATGGAGAATCTCGGCCAGGGCTTACGTAACGGGGGAGCCAAAAGGGTCATTATCTCTACCCCCTCTGCTGATGCCCCCATGTTCATAATGGGCATGATCCATGAGAAGTATGAAAACAGCCTCAAGATCATCAGCAATGCCTCCTGTACTACCAACTGCTTAATCCCACTGACCAAGCCCACCCATGACAACTCTGGCATTGTGGAAGGACTCGTGACCCAGAAGACTGTGGATGGTCTCCGTGGGAAACTGTGGCATGATGTCTGTGGGGCTCTCCAGAACATCATCCCTGTATCTACTGGTGCTGCCAAGACTGTAGGCAAGGCCATCCCCGAGCTGAACAGGAAGCTCACTGACATGGCCTTCCATGTTCCCTTCTGCAAATGTGTTGGTTGTGGACCTGACCTGCCATCTGGAGAAACCTGCCAAATATGATGACATCAAAAAGGTGGTGAAGCAGGCGTTGGAGGGCCCCTCAAGGGCATCCTGGGCTACGCTGAACACCAGGTTGTTTCCTCTGACTTGAACAGTGACACCCACTTTTCCACTTTCAGTGCTGGGGCTGGCTTTGCCCTCAGTGACCACTTTGTCAAGATCATTTCCTCATATAACAATGAATTTGGCCACAGCAACAGGGTGGTGGCCCATATGGCCTCCAAGGAGTAAGACTCCTTGACAGCCAGCCCCAGTGAGAGCACAAGAGGAAGAGAGAGACCTTCAGCTTCTGGGGAGTCCCTGTCACCCTCAGTCCCCCACCACACTTGGAATCTCCCCTCCTCACAATTTCCATGCAGACCCCACAAAGCTCTACCTTGTCGTGTACCATCAATGAAGTCCCCTGTACTCAAAAAAAAAAAAAAAGAAAGAAAATGAACAACCTGATTTTAAAAATAAGCCAAAGATCTTAATGGACACCTCATCACAGAAGATATACACATGGCAAATAAACATATGAAAAGATGCTCCACGTCATATGTCATCAGGGAAATGCAAATTAAAACAGTGAGATCCCACTACACACTTACTAAAATGGCTAAAATCTAGAATGCTGACACCACCACCAAATGCTGGTGAGAATGTGGATTAACAGGAACTCTTATTCATTGCTAGTGGGAATGCAAAATGGTACAGCCACTTTGGGAGACAATTTGGTGGTTTCTTAAAAAAAACTAAACATGCTCTTACCATCCAGCAATTACATTCCTTGGTATTTAGCCAAAGGAGTGAAAAACTGTCCACACAGAAACCTGCATGTGGATGTTCACATCAGCCTTATTCATAATTGCCAGAACATGGAAGCAACCAAGATGTCCTTCAGTAGGTGAACAGATAAACTGTAATACATACAAAGAATGGTATATTATGCAGTCCTAAAGAGAAGCTATGAAGCCGTGAAAAGATACAGGAAACTTAATACATATTACGAGGGAAAGAAGCCAATCTGAAACAGCTACATACTGTATGATTTCCGTTATATGACATTCTGGAAAAGGCAAAATGATAGAGACAATAAAAATATCAGGGGTTGGGTAAAGGGAGGGATGCATAGGCAGAGCCCCGAAGATTTTTAGGGCAGTGAACCTAATCTGCATGATACTGTAATGATGAATACATGTCATTATACATTTGTCTAAACCCATAGAATGTATAACACCAAGAGTGAACCCTAATGTAAACTATGGACTCTGGGTGATAATGATGTGTTAGTGTAGGATCATCAGTCATAACAGATGTACCCTCTGGTGGTGGCAGGGTGGGGGATATGGGAAATCTGCTCAGTGTTGCTGTGAACCCAAAACTGATCAAAAAAATAAAGACCATTTTTAAAAAGATAAATAATGAAAGATATGCTCACAGCTCAGTCGTGATACTAGTAATGCAGTTTTTTTAAAAATTTTTTTTGCAGAATTGTGCTTTTGAAGAAATCAGAATGTTATTCTCAATTTTTTGGTGATTATTTAAATTTTCCCCATTTTTATATGGCTTCTTTTAAAATGTTTCACTTTATTCTTTTCCTAATTTATATTAGAATGGCAATATATGTTTAACACTTGTATTTTTATACATTTATGGGTTTTTAATGTTCTGAAATGTTGTTTTTTACTTCAAATGTGTTGAATATTTAACTTGTTAAAACATTCCAGGCTGGGCACAGTGGCTCACACTTGTAGTCCTAGCACTTTGGGAGGTTAAGGCAGGAGGATCACTTGAGCCCAGGAGTTTGAGGCCAGCCTGGGCAGCATAGTGAGACACCATCTGTTTAAAAAAAAAAATCTGAATTAAAAAAAAAAAACCAGCATTAATGCTAGTGTTCCATATTATGTAAAATAAGTGTGAAATACCCAAACTATTGTTTTGCTTTCATATTGCTATTGCATTTCTTTCTTTCTTTCTTTTTCTCATTTCTGAGTAGATCTTTAAAATTTTTTAATTTAAAAAAATTTCTTATTTCTAAAAATTTTTGTGGATACATAAATAGGTGTATATCATATTGCATTTCTATCTAATATGTACCTGCTTATGGGAAGAGTCAACAAATGTTTATTATTTCTAAATACTCCTATTTCTCGGACATTAAAAGATGTTCAAGAAGTAGTCATGTGAACATGATTTCTTTTTAAATGTGATATCAATTTTATTGGTACCCAATTTTTGTCATACATTTTTAGTTTAGTTATATTTTTTGGGTACCTTCAGTGAATGCCTTCATTTTCTTTTTTTTTATTTTTGAGACGGAGTCTCGCTCTGTCCCCCAGGCTGGAGTGCAGTGGCACGATCTCAGCTCACTGCAAGCTCCGCCTCCTGGGTTTATGCCATTCTCCTGTCTCAGCCTCCCGAGTAGCTGGGACTACAGGCACCTGCCACCATACCCGGCTAATTTTTTGTATTTTTAGTAGAGACGGGGTTTCACCATGTTAGCCAGGGTGGTCTCCATCTCCTGACCTCGTGATCCACCCGCCTCAGCCTCCCAAAGTGCTGGGATTACAGACGTGATCCACCGCGCCCTGCCAATTCCTTCATTTTCATTGTCATTATATAAGCATTTATACTGACTTCCAGACTCCACTGAAAGACTTGTTTGAATGCATATTTTGTGTTTGGACCATACATTCACTTAACAGAAAAGATACAGGTTGAGCACTTAGTGTGTAATAGGTAATGCGAAATACTGTGGATAGTGCAGAACAAGACAAACTCATGCGCTCAAAGTTTACTTTCAAACTGGGGAGATGTGTACATCATGATTAAGCACATAAATAAGAAAATTATAGATTGTAATGAAAACACGAACAAAGTAAGCAGGGTGATGTGAGAAGTAACGTGGGGAGAAGTAGATGACATTTGAGCTGAGACCTGAAGGATTCTCCATCCAGGGGAAGTACATTCCAGCAGAAAGAGAAGTAAGTGCACCCCTTAGGCAGGAAGGAGCTTCAGGGAATGTAAAGGAGGCAATCACGGGTAGAGTATAGAAAACAAGAAAGGGGAATGGTTAAAGATGAATTTGGAGAGGTAGGCAGGAACAAAATTATCAGGGCTTTGTAGCCTTATAATTTATCCTTTATTAAGGATTTTGGCTGTTTTAAATGCATTGGGCTGCCATTGACATATATCAGGTAAGGAAATGGTTTGTGTTTTTGGAAGATTTTTTTTTTTCCTGTGTTGAGAACGGATTGTAGAGAGGCAAAAGTGGAAATGGAGAATAACTAAAGTAGAAGGCCATGCTTGGGCCATGGGAGCTGCTAAAAATACTTTTAGCTTGGAAGTGATGTTCACAAAGCATGGGATGAAAAAATGAGCATGGTAGCTTCATGCGATTGACTGGGGTTAGGGGGTGACAGAAGAGAGAATGAGACTGAGAGACCAGTTAGGAAGATACTGGAAAGCTTCATGTATTAAATTGTTTGTTAGGGCACAAATTAAGAGTGAAGGCAGTGTCAATAAAATGGAAAAAGAATTTGCAAGACAATGAAAGAACTGACAGGGCTTTGTGTCTGATTCAGTGTCAGGAGAAAAGAAAGCATCAAGGATTTGAAGACAGGGTTTCTAGGGAGGTATTGTTACCACCGGCAGAGAATTTTGGAGCAGTGTCTTTGGAGTATATGTATGGAGTACTGGTTTTATTTTATTTTATTCTATTTTTTAAGACAAGATCTTACTCTGTTGCCCAGGCTAGAGTGCTGTGGCATGATCACAGCTTACTGCAGCCTCAAGCTCCCAGGCTTAAGCCATTTGAATTAGTCTGTTTTCACACTGCTCTAAATAGCTTATAAACAAAAGAAGTTCAATTGACTAACAGTTCCTCATGGCTGGAGAGGCCTCAGGAAACTTAGAATCCCTGGGGAAGGTAAAAGGTAAGCAAGGCACATCTTATATGACGACAGGAGAGAAAGAGAAAATGCCACTTTTAAAACCATCAAATCTCATGAGCACTCCCTCAGTATCATGAAAACAGCATGGGGGAAACCGCCCCTATGATCCAGTCACCTCCCGCCAGGTCCCTCCCTTGACATATGGGGATTACAATTTGAGATGAGACTTGGGTGGGGACATAGAGCCAAACCATATCGTTCTGCCCCTGGCCCCTCCAAAATATGTCCTTTTCACATTTCAAACCAATCATGCCTTCCCAGTAGTCCCCCAGAGTCTTAACTCATTCCAACATTAACCTAAAGTCCAAGTCCAAAGTCTGATCTGAGACAAGGCAAGTCTCTTCCATCTATGAGTCTGTAAAATCAAAAGCAAGTTAGTTACTTCCAAGATACAATGGGGGCACAGGCATTGGGTAGATGCTTCCATTCCAAATGGGAGAAATTGGCCAAAACAAAGGGGCCTCAGGCCCTATGCAAGTCTGAAACCCAGCCACGCAGTCATTAAATCTTAAACTCCAAAATCTCCTTTAACTCCATGTCTCACACCCAGGGTACGCTGATGCAAGGGGTGTGCTCCCATGGCCTTGGGCAGCTTTGCCCCTGTGGCTCTGCAGGGTACAGCCCCTGTGGTGCTTTCATGGGCTGGCATTGAATGCCTGTTGCTTTTCCAGACGCACGGTGCAAGCTGTCATTAGATCTACTTTTCTGTGGTCTGGAGGACAGTGGCCCTCTTCTCATAGTTCCACTAGGCAGTGCCCCAGTGGGGACTCGGTGTGGGGGCTCCATCCCCACATTTCCCTTCCACACTGCCCTAGCAGAGGTTCTCTATAAGGGTTCTGCCCCTGCAGCAGACTTCCGTCTGGACATCCAGGCATTTCCATATGTCCTCTGAAATCTAGATGGAGGTTCCCAAAGCTCAACTCTTGTCTTCTGCACACCTGCAGGCCCAACACCACATGGAAGCTGCCAAGGCTTGGGGCCCGCACCCTCAGAAGCAATGGTCTGAGCTGTAGTCTGGCCCCTTTTAGCCATGGCTGGAGCTGGAGTAGCCGGGACGCTGGACACCATATTCCGAGACTGCAGAGAGCAGCAGGGGCCTGATCCCAGCCCACAAAACCATTTTTCCCTCCTAGGCCTTCTGGCCTGTGATGGAAGGGGCTGCCATGAAGATCTCTGACATGCCTTGGCGAAATTTTTCCCATTTTCTTGGCTATTAACATTCTGTTCCTTGTTGCTTAGGCAAATTTTTGCAGCATGCTTGAGTTTCTCCCCAGAAAATGGGGTTTTCTTTTCTACCAGTCAGGCTGCAAATTTCCAAACTTTTATGCTCTGCTTCCCTTTTAAGCATAAATTCCAATTGCAGATTATCTCTTTGTGAACACATTTGTACACTCAGGAAAATCCAGGCCCCATCTTTAATGCTTTGCTGCTTAGAAATTTCTTCTGCCAGATACCCTAAATCATCTCTCTCAAGTTCAAAGTTCCACAGATCTCTAGGGC